TCAGGGAATGAGAAATGTAATGACCCCGACAAAAACCATCCATTTCCTATGGCTTCCTTTGAGGGAATCCCTAGGTTCATTCCCCAACACCCTGGGTTATTCCCGACTGAGCACCGGCAAGTGTTTAGTCGTCAACCCCAAAAGGTGAAACCTTGTCCAAGTTCTTTGCAAGTGAATAGGGGACCCACCCCAAGAAAACAACGCAGGTGGTTTTCTGTTTGTTTCTCTTAAAACTATTGGCTCAGGTGATAATTATCCCCAACAGCAGCCATCTCCAGAACTCGGAGAACCGCCCTGCGCGTCCCCGGGAAAAAAAAGCTTTCGGCTGTCGGGGCAAAAAGGTATCCTCGAACAAAAGATGGCATACCCATTGTTTCTGATGAGCCCCCTATGGGTTTCTGGTGGTTTTGGTACCTTCATGGATTGACAACGGCGGTTTTGGTATTCACGTAAGCAACTCTCGTGAGCGCTGAACATGACCCCGCATTCGAGCCGCCTCGCTTCGGCTTGGGGCTGGTGCCGTGTCGGTGCGGATGCCAAGAGGCCCGTTTGCAGAGCCATCATCATGGTAAGATGGGACATGGCACGGCCAAGACACCTGCCGGTTTTGGTAAGACACCTCCTTCATGGTTGTTGGGATTTACATTTTTCCCATTTTTGAGCTTATGGTGGTTTTAGTGGCTGAAATCCAACCACTTGACTGCTATTTCGAGATTTCTTTTGGTTCCCCTTTCAACGTCGACCAAGTCATGTTGGGTAGACTTCTTCAGTACCGGACTTCATTTAGCACCACGTGGATGGTCTGCACACTTAGCAAGTCAGTTATAACCATGGGTTACAAAGGACACACCGGTTAGGACCATGATTGTGACCTACTTGCAAAGTGGTTTCAACATGCCATTCTGTCTGATCTTAGATTCTGAGTGTCTTACCATTTCCGTGTTTATACTTTTGGCTAAGGAGACCTTCAACCTTTCAGTATTATAGAGAGCGACCAAAAGAGTTGCCAACCTCTAGCCCAAAGTTGTTGCAACTTGCAGGGGTGAGTGAAGTTTGCAGACATGTGGGAGGTGTACTTAGTTCAAGGACACACGGGAGAGATTTTCCCCGGTATGTAGTCGGACCAGAAGATCACCCCCGAATCTCATTGCCATAAAGCCGTGGTTGAAAGCATAGGACAGTCCCTCACTTGCGAAGGTCGCTTGAAGCTGGCGAATGATTCTTCACCGGGTGGTAGACTCCTGGGTCAGGTGTTGATGACTGACTTGGGCCCAAAGATTTGAGCAGGCGTTGGGGTAGACTTCCGGGCCAGGCTTTGATTATGACCAACTTTGATGACCAACTATGACCAACTTGGTAGACTTCTGGGCCAGGATGTTCTTTTTTTTTACCAACTTGGGAGTCCCCAAGATAAGGAAGGGGAGCCGCTGTGCAGAAGGAAGCCGCGAATTTCACGCCAGGGTGGGCCGCTTGTCGCCGACCCGTGGCTGGGGCGCCAAGGTTGGGGTTCGCGCCAGGCGCCAGTGACTCCAGTGACTCCAGTGACTCACATGGTTGTTGTTGGGTTTTACATTTTTCCCATTTTTGATCTTATGGTGGTTTAGTGGTTGAAATCCAACCACTTAACTGCTAAAAATTGAGAATGTTTGCTCCCCTTCCAACGTCAACACAGCTCAGGACGCGTTTCCACTTAAATGAGTTTGTGCTGTTGGGCTCACTTCCCGGGTACTTGGAGGATTTCTTGGAGGTTGTGCTGTTAGAAGGATTACTTGGTGGTCGCTCGAGGCTTTCAACTTTGCGGGAAGATCATGTTAGTTAAATGGCGAGACTTTGCCTGACCAAGTTACTCAAACAAATGACTTGGGATCCTGTAGTTGCCCTCGAGTTGAAGTCCAGAATTTGTGCGATCAGTTCCTTCTACATAGCCACCGAAGATTATGGAGCCGATGATCTTGGTGGTTCCCAGCCATTTTTTCTCCGTTGTTGTTAGTTGTTAGGCGACGGCTCTCCTCGCGCCTCGTCTCCTCGAAGGCTCTCGCCCGGAGCTCGGGTGGGGCGAAGGTTCTTGGGCTACGCGTTAGGCGTTTCTCGTGGAAGAGACGCCAAAAGGGAAACGGAGTGGTTTCCCCAGAATGTTGACCCCGGATTAATAAACCCCTGTTTATGAATGTGGGGGTGTTTCCTCCGCAAGTGATAAATCCCCACTAAAACCAGCGACACCCCGATATTAAAAAAAGCAAAGGTTTATTAATCCGGGGTCGACATTACGAAAGTCTGTGGCAAGATCCCTGCAAAAAACTCCCCATTGATTTTGATTTTTAGTTGGTCGCAAGATCTGGGGGGGGGGGGTTGACCACTAGCCGGTTTGGCTCAAAGGGGAAGACTAGAAATCGGATTTAGGGGACTTCCCCCCCACCCTCCGCCCATACGAAGAAGGAGATGCTTTGGCAAACTCTAGAGGTCCTAGTTTGTGTGTTTGTAAAAGCCAAATCTACATGAAGAAACGCATTTTAACAAAATCGGTTTGCAAACCTAACATGGGGGTTGCCCCTGGATTGGTTGGGTGATGGTGATTCAAGTAACCAGCTACAACATGCTGCAACACAGATGCTGAATGTGTCAAAAATTAAACTGTTTGATATTGTAGACTTCTTTGGTTTCTATTTTGGCGACCGGAACGCACACATTTCAGCTAGCACTTTTTGTCACGTCGCTTGGAACCAGTAGATTTAGAGGGAAACCATGAGTTGATACGTGAACGGTCATTTTACATGCTTAATATTTCCTTGGTAGGAGGCGGTGAGGTTCGGTCAACATATCCAGTCCAGATGCTGCTTTGTTTGTGGTCAGCGGAGGACACTCCCTCATTGAAAGCATGGTAGCTCATCTCCCGCATTGGACACATGTCCAGCAACCTCTGGACATTGTAAAATGCGCAAGACCCTCTGAAACGATATTGTTGCAAAATCCTCTCGATGTTGCCCGAATTCTGGTTGAAGATGCCAAACCTATCTCAACCCGGTGAATGATCCTCCAACCAGGGCACCAAATTCCACACACTTGGGCATGTGTTTAATTAGGGACCGTCTGGTGGACATCATCTAGGTGGAGTTTTATGTCCACCAACCAGAGTTCATGGCCACTGTTATTGGGATCCACGACAAGCCTTGAGCTCAGAAATTTCGCCTGTGGATTTTCGGACCAACCCACTTAAGCAGGTAGCGAAGCGCACAACTGGTTCATGTCACCCCAGAATGGTTCCCTTAGAACTGCGTTGTTCAAACCATGCAAGTGGGCTCCAGCCATGGTTCAGGGAAAGCCCAGTGACAACCATAGTTACAACCTACTTACCGTTGAACCTCCCAAAGCCGGGCTGCTTTTCTCCTTTGGCGAGTGAGGGCTCGCCGCGTGGCTAGCCGGCCCTTGCGTGGGGCACCCAGCTCTCGAGCTTGGGAGCTTGGGTTGGGGATCTTTGGGTTGGGGATCAAAGGGGCCCCCTGTTTGGACCTCAAATGGGCCCCAACGAGTCCACGATTTTGACCGTCATTTGGGTATGGGTGATTTTTTTAACCACCAGACTGCAGATTTTAGTCTTGGTTTCCATTTCCCGGGGTTCCATTTTGGGGTTGCCCTATTTTTGACCCACACCCATCTTTTTTTTGGCGCGTCCTTTTTGGAGTTGCTACTTGTGAGCGTGTTAGGGAGATCAAAAGGAAGCCGCCCAGTGTTAGGGCTTCCGGTAGTTTGAGATAAATTGCAATGACTCATGACCACTTAAGCGAGTTTTCACCCACATGTCGGAATATGGTTGAGCGGGAAGTCTAGAAGTTGGATTGGAAGCAAAATTCATTCCCTTTTGAGCCGCACATGCAAAGGTTTAGGTTCACAAACAAGCGCTGCGGTCTAATTGGTGTGCACCCCTGGCTTTTGTAGAGGTTCAATGGGAAACCACCCCTTCTAGACCACCTATCCAAGCCACCAATTGGAGGGAAGCTGATTTTGGGAGTCCAACAGACCGCTTTTTGTCATCTTTGCGTGTTTAAGCTATGAAAGGACTATTTTTTTCTGAAAAGATTATCCTAGCCAAATGACAGCCAATCTTGGGAAGCTTTCATGACTACTCTTTGGAATCTGTAAGAAGGATCCACAAAGAAAGCTCGGGTGCAAAACCTTGCGGATCAAGGTCCTGCAACCAGCGTGGTGAAGACACTGGACTAGCGCCGAGTGAAAGGCTGAGGCGGTTTCGTCAAGGCCCGCCCCCGCCCCGTTTTTCCGCAATCAGTGCGACCCACCCATGCTAAATTCTTGGGGGGCTGTAGTGACCGATCACGATGCACTTGGATCCGGGTAGGACCCTAGAACTGATACGACATTTGAACAGCACAACAGGAATCGGGCGGTCTTGGCAAGGTATTCGCTGCTCTTTGCAAGCTCAAAGGGTGCAGCACAGAGGCAGCTGGAATTCCAATGATAGTATTGTGCAGTGTGGGGACGGGCCACGGCTGATTTGTTTGATCGGATCAAACGGTTTGGGAACCTAGCAAAGGTTAAACTTCAGGCCTCAGCGTGATGATGGGCTTGCCAATCAACCGTGGCCCACATGTCATGTCAGGATGGTGCCGGGGTAACTTGCCCAAAGGATCTCTGGCAAGGCCCATCGTGCCGCATGTCAGTACAATATGCCACGGCTGCCTGCTCAATTACAAAAGGGCAGGGCTGGCGTTCCCTTGCCTGCAAGGTTGCCGTGCTTGCTTTGAACAGGGCACTTGTAAGTGACAAGCTGTGTCACGTGAGTGGTCGAAGCTGAAGTGTTTGTGTTCGGGCTTGCAAGTTTCGGCAGAGAGGCATAGTCATAGTCTTGAACAGTCAGGAAGCATCTGACGGTGATGCGAGGTTTTGAAGCCGTAGCACATTTTGCCCACATGACAGGATCTCAGGTGGCCCACTCGTTCAAAAACCACAGGACGCAGCAGTCTGAGTCTGAAGCCTGCACCAAAGGAGAATTTGCAGCTTTTCGAGCCTTTAGCTGCATCGCCATGTCCGTGCGAGCCACCTCTCAATGCAGCGTGGGCCTCGGGTGATATCATTTTTTGGTCCGCTTTCGGTCTTTGTGCCATAGGGCACTGACTCTATGACTTGCAGCCACGGGTTGAAGGACAACAAGTTGGGACCACCCATTCGTTTATGTCGTTTGAAGGAAACATTTTGTTTGTATAGCCCATCTTTGTGTGTGTGTGTGTGTTGGCCAAAGCAACCCTTTCACTCGGTAGGAATGGTCATGGACAACCGTCACAAGACTTCCGGTCAACAGAACAATGACCGTGGCCGCCATGACCCACAGAACAAGTTTGACCATGGGACATATGTTGTTAAATCGGAGAATGGCGCGTGTCAAAACAGGTGGCCTCCCGGGATGGTGCCAGTTTGGTGTTGGTTCCCGTCCGTTTTGGCATCCCTTGCCAAAAAGGGGCCCTGGTTTGCAGACAGAACCCACTGGTTTCGCTAAAGGATCACACGCCGGAAGCGGGCGTAGGCGGCCATGGTGGCCATGCCCATGCCCCGCGTTCAGCATGGTGAATGAGTACTGTGACTTTCTCATTTGTGCAACTTGTTTTTGGAAAGGGTTCCCCTTTATATAAAGTCAACCAACCAAAAAGGGATGCCCTTTGTTCCCATGGCCACTGGGCATTTCAGCATTTGAGCGAAAAAGTTCAATTCAGTTTGCGAAAGAGGGGTGGTCATCATGGATTCTGCGCAATGAATTTGTGTTCGGCCTTAGCCCGTGTATGTTTGTTGCGTAAGAGTAATGGCGTGGATTCTCGCGCAGGCTACCCACATGCTGGCGTACGCTCGGGTAAGCACCTCGTTGAAGTTCCTGGCGACGTTTTGAACGCCGCTCATTTGGTCCAGTGCGCAAGGTGAGTTGTTTAGATTTTGCATGCAACTATGACAATTGTTCAGCTTACGGATCGGCTCTAAGAAGCCAGTTGCAGCAAATTCTACCGGCAGCTTGCCCAAGCCCCCCAGTTGCCCCGTGTACTTTGGCTAATCTCCAGTAATTCGCGCGTTTTTTGGGGCTGCCTTTTTGTGGGCGGGGCTGGTCCATTTGGTCGATCTGAGGCTGGGGCCGTCCCATGATGCACCTCTCGGATGGCACTGGGCGAGATTGGTGCGCCGACTCCGTCGAAGTTCCCTCGCACAGGCGGCCTCCAAAACCACCCCACGTGGTCTGTTTTCAACGTGGGAGCGAACATTCGGGACCGGGACTCATTCAATTTCAGCCGCAAGAAGCGCGCTGGCGGAACGCGATGTGTTCGATGTCCACCAAGGACGGCACGCGCAAATGGGTCTGTTTTTTTTGTTGGTGTCCCGTTTGTATGGGTTTTAAATGGAAACCAACAGGAAAACACCAGGGGTCCCCGAAACAAGACACACCCATCTGACTGTCAACTCACCAGATCGATCTGCCATGCCTTCACAGGGCTCATAGAGCTGCGAGTTCCTTCCACGGGAAGGATGTCGCGAAAGGTTTGGAGGCTCTCGCGCTCCTTTCGGAAATCCCTAGTCCAACCAGCCCCATGCACCACGTGCTCTCCCCGGCAAAATATGTATTCGGCTTGAAACCAACTAGATCTGTCTAGCCTTATCCCACAAGTTCAAGATGTGTTTGGGTCCTAGACACTTCTTGGAGGCCCCTGTTACTGCTTTTCAGCCGCCCCAGGTACATCCTCGGCGACGCCAAATCCAAAAACGGGCACTGGACACCGCCGAAGAAGCCGCGCCCTTGGGGGGGGGGGGGGGCCATGTGCGGACCGACGCGCCCATGGCCAAAACCGAGAGGAACGGGGGGGTCCAAAAAGATCTGATTCAGAACAAACAGGGGCTCAAGCCACTCACTTTTTTGAGGTGTTGGACTTTGGTCACTTTTTGGGTTTGGACCAGCTTGGTGGTAAATTAAAGGTTGGGACTTGTTTGGGCCAGCCATGCAGGAGTGAGGCAACATGGAGGTCCAACAACATGGAGGTCCAACATAAATATGAATATGGAGTCCATTGTAACATGACTTGGGTTGGAAACACAGGCCTAAAGACCAAGCAGAGCCCCAAAAAGCCCGGGTGTCTCTCGCCCCTTAGAGCCAACAAAGGTTGTGGGAGCTCCATGGGTTTTCTCCCACTGCGGTGGTAGCAACCCTGAAAAGAAATGGTCGAAGTGCGGTAATTTCCTGAGTGTCCAACGTGTTGCCCCCGTCCTTGCCAACATTTTGACATGTTCTTGCTGGCTCTCAGCAGGGAATCAACAGAACTTTGGGAACTAACCCATGGATCCCCTGAGAGGAAACCACAAGAGATGGATTATAGGAGTCATTCCCTCCTTCCCTGCTGAGCACCAGCAGGTTTCGCAAGCAAGCAACTTTTTTTCCTCGCAATCTTCAGTTGCCATGCGTAGCTTGCACGACACTCGGGGCAGCTTTGCAGGTCTCTTAGCCGGAGCAGCACTGATGAGGCTGGAGTTCAGGTTTGCACATGCGGAGCGGAGCGTGATTTAGCATGGGGTCTGTCTTACGATTGGCGTTTGCAAACTTGTTGCCTTCAATGTCTCTTGACCAACAATCAGAACTGGGCCTCCCAATTTTGAGAGAGACAATCTTGGCGGTTCCATTGATTCGTCACCAGCTTGCTCTCCAGCGAGCCGGGTAGACTGTTTTTTTGGTCTCAGGGTAGATGGTTTCATCGCCAGTTTGTTTTTTTCAGGATGATTGGATCAGCTTGAGAAACGGCCATATGTTGCACCAGGCCTGGTGGCCGTTTCTGAGAAACACCGGGGGTTTCCTATTTGAGCGCACCACTTGGGTTTGTCTTATTGTGGAAAGCGCTGCGTACAGCAAAGCCACAGGAAGCCCGGAAGGTTCTCGCGCACAGTCTCAGGAGCCGCGCAAGGCTCCGACGGGAGCTCGGAGGACGGTCACTCCGCCGGTCGCCGCTCTTTGGAGTGATGTCTCCCTCTGGGCTAAACTCGTCGTACATTCAGAGTGTGGGGGGAGCATAGGTGCGTAAGTTTGTTTAGAACTAGATTGGCTCCACTGTTTGAGATGGGCGCCCCATGTACCAGGAAACCCATCGTTTTTGTTCCAAAACCTGTGAGGTCCTTCTTTTTTCAGCACTTGGGGTGTAGGGAGAACCGGGGCCTTCGTTTCCTACCCCTAAGTCGGGGGGGGGGGAGGGGCAACTGCTCTATTTGCTCGTTTTTTTCCCCACCGAAAGCCGTAGCCTGGCCCTGTTGGCTGCAATGTGGAATTGTCAAGACTGGTATTTGTTGGTGACTACCCAAGCGAATTTGCACTTGGTGTGAACGATGCCAACATTTCGTTTAAACCAGTCTCACCCTTTTGAGGGCTCGGCAGGTTCCAACTCACGCGTTGGTTTTGACAGAAAGGATTCAGCAAAACAGCCTGGCTGGAGGTGTCCTCTTTTGTGATTATTGGGTGGTTCAAAGATGTGCTGGGCCAACTTGAAGAGTTTCTCATTGGCAGGGGGATGCGTTTCCCACAGGATAGCCTCGGGCGAGCCATTCCGGGGAGAGATCGGGAGCCCAGGGAATCCACGGCAAGAGGGTTTGGATTTTTGGAGTTGCGGTTCAGGGTCACAAGATTTGACATTTTACATAAAGGAAACAAGGCCAAAGAATTAATGCCCAGGTTATGTCTGTCTCGTACTTGTTTAGACCTTATTCGGTCTGCAAAATACAGACTGTTGAGTGGTGCTATGCTTGTGTTGTTGATCGCTGGCCACGTGGAGTACTTGAGGTCCAGAATACGGTTGACAATTGCTAGAAAGCAAACAATGTTTCATTTCATCGAGCTGTACCAATTCTGGGGTAGTTGTCATTTCCATCCTGTCGGGATGCTGGCCACTTGAGCCATTTGGCTTTTTACTCTGGCCCAACCGGGTGTCCGTGGAGCAGGCGGGGGCGGTGGCTGGGGCCTGAAGATACTGCGTGATGGGAGCCATCCGTGTGTGTGTGTGTGTGTGCGTGCGCGCGTGCGTGGGTGTGTGTGTGTCTGTGTGTGTGTGTGGGTGCGTGCGTGCTCGCGTGTGCGTGTGCGTGCGTGCGTGCGTGCGCGTGCGTGCGTGCGTGCGTGTGTGTGTGTGTGGAACAGAGGGAGATCACGGTGTTTATGTATGTGGGCGTGTGATTGTGTAAGTGACGCGTGTGTGTGCGTGTGTCTCACATGGGGCGGTTAGTGTCGTGGTTGTTGTTGTTGTTGTTGTTGTTGTTGTTGTTGTTGTTGTTGTTGTTGTTGTTGTGGTTGCTGCTGCTGCTGCTGCTGCTGCTGCTGCTGCTGCTGCTGTTGTTTTTGTTGTGTTGTTGTTGTTGTTGTTGTTGTTGTTGTTGTTGTTGTTGTTGTTGTTGTTGTTGTTGTTGTTGTTGTTGTTGTTGTTGTTGTTGTTGTTGTTGTTGTTGTTGTTGTTGTTGTTGTTGTCCCCCCCCCCCTGGCCGCGCTCTTCGCTGCTGGGGGGCCCGCCTCGCCCCCGCTTCCCCCGTGGTTTCCTCAGGCGGAGGCCACGGGGGCCCGCCTTCCCGGCTTGTTCCTGCTGCTGCCTTGTTGTTGTTGTTGTTGTTGTTGTTGTTGTTGTTGTTGTTGTTGTTGTTGTTGTTGTTGTTGTTGTTGTTGTTGTTGTTGTTGTTGTTGTTGTTGTTGTTGTTGTTGTTGTTGTTGTTGTTGTTGTTGTTGTTGTTGTTGTTGTTGTTGTTGTTGTTGTTGTTGTTGTTGTTGTTGTTGTTGTTGTTGTTGTTGTTGTTGTTGTTGTTGTTGTTGTTGTTGTTGTTGTTGTTGTTGTTGTTGTTGTTGTTGTTGTTGTTGTTGTTGTTGTTGTTGTTGTTGTTTCGATCAAGCAGAGAATGTGGCTCGACAGTGTTCAAGGAACCAAGGAGCCTTCAGTGTTGTTTAAACGTTCAGCTTGATGGCTCCATCAGCAAATTTCCGGCAGCAGCAAGCTGAAACCTGTTGACTTTTTTTGCGCTTCAGCCTGCCTGTGGTACTTGCCAGCTACTCTGTTCCTTTTCTGAGGCTGTTTTCCAGTTAATTCGAGTCGTGGCTTGGGCAACTTCGTCTGAACATGTTGGCCAGGGGCGCACTTTGGTGACAAGGGTTTTGTTCTGTTGATTCTGACCTACACTCAGGGAAGCATTTGCAAAACACCTCTTGGCTCACGTGGGGCTTTGACCAGCAAATCAGTTTTACGCAAATCAGGCGTAAGTGATCAAACGGCTTGCGCCCTTGGCTTGCATCACGTTGGAGAAGCACAGGCTCGAGCTACGTTGAGTGGCTTGGTCCTTGGAGGCCGCTTGCAATGCTCCTGGCCGAGGGGCTGGCAGACGAGAGTGCTCCATTGAACTTGGAGCAGGCGGTGGCGCAAGCTCCTCTTCCACAATGTGCAAAGAAAAGGCGCCGCAAGCAGCAAGTCGCTTTGAAATCCGCTTCGGATCTCCAGACATTGATCGATGCTGCTGTTTCAAGTGGGCTTCTCATCATGCTGGAGGTGTTCAGTGGAGTTGGCAACGTGGCCAAAGCTGCTGGCAGCATTGGGTTTTTCCCTATCCCTTTAGATGTGACGGCAGGCTGGGATGTCACTGACTCCAGCGTGTTGGCTGTGTTGTTGGCAGCGATAGCATCTGGTTTGGTGGCTGCTGTGAGCCTGGCGCCTCCATGTGCCAGCTGGAGCCGTGCGCGGAGAGGTCGGAGCAATGGCTCGGGATGGCCCAGGAGATTACGTAGCACAGCCGAGATCTTGGGCATTACCACCCTCATTTTGACAGAGAAGGCGGAGATCAACCTGACGTTTTTACTCATGGTGTTCGAAGAGTTGCGATAGGAAACTAGCGACTTAAGCATTCGAGTGCTGTTGTTATGTGACTTGCTATTCCCAACTCAAGGGATCTTTTCGTTGACGGCAGGAGAAGCAACACCTTTCTGTGGGGAACTCGACTGCAGAAGTTTGTGTTCGAATCATCCAGCAGTGCCAGCTCTATAAGGTGCGGGTTGTGCTGGAGAATCCGCGGGACAGCATGATTTTCATGTTCCCTGGCTTGGTAGCTGCTTGCTTCGCGCAGGGCGAGGTGGCTGAGCGTGATGGCCTTCGCTTAGAGCTACCTCCATGCCATGTTGAGGTCATCTTCGACATGTGTGCTTATGAAGCAGCCTGGCGAAAGCCGACTCGATTATGGTTTTGGTGCGTGGAGCAGAGCAAGGTGAACCACATGCAGAGAAAGTGCAAGGCAAAGCGTGCCAAGAAGAAGGGGGCTCCGGCCAAATGCTTCTTCTCGGGAGAAGCACACGTGCATCTCACCGGGGCTTCCAAGTCGAAATTCTGCACGAAGAGTGCGGAAGCATATTCAATGCCATTTGCGCAGGAGTTGGCGCAGGCATTGCTTCTTTGAAGCTGAAAGCTTCGTGGGCAGCTCTGGGGATTCCTGTCGCGGAAGCCTTCAAAGCGAAAGGGCTTTGGATAGCAGGTTTACGACGTAGATTTCGTGGCCCTCGGCTGAAACTTCCTGTCGTTTTCATGCAGGGGCGAAAAGGCATGAACACCTGGGGCGAATTAGCAGCTTGCCACGTTTGTTGCTGGTGCAGGGGTGTGTGTGTACATAGTGTCCTGAGCCAGGCTCATGGCGTGGGAGGCGGCTCTGTTCGAGATACAAGATCCATTCTTGGATGATGACGGATTCCTGGCTGTGATCTCCTCCATTGAGATGCAGATGGATGAACCTCAGCAGCAGGACCAGGCATCACTCGAAAATTTGAGGCGCATCGTCGGTGCTTGTCGGTCATTCCTGCAGACTACAGCCAGTGAAGAAGTTCACGCCCTCGTTCCGCCAACATTGGGTCGCATGGCGGTCTTCTTGCAGGAGCAGTCCACACTTGCCTTGTCCGCTGATCCAGGTGATGTTGCTGCGACACCCAGACAGGCGCATGATTTGGAGGGCTCAGACGACGGAGCTGTGGACACAGAGCACTTGCTTGCTGGCGCTTCTTCTGCTTCTTCTTCATGTCTTTCCCTAGAAGGACTGTTGCGTTTCCCCTGCACGTTTTACCTTAGGGCAATCACCAGGTCTGATTTGACAGAGGCGGTTCTGCATAAACACCTGTCTTCATACTTTGGGTCCAAACGGACTTAAAACCCCGGACAGCTTGGAGGGCACAAAATCGGCGGGACAACTCCCCGGACAAATCTCTGGACAGCTCTGAGGGCCCAAACCCCGGGACAATCTTCCGGACAACCCTCCGGACAGCTTTGAGGGGGACAAACCCCCGGACAAGTCTTCGGACAGGTTTGGAGCACACCAAAGCTACTTGGAATCCACTCGGAAACCACTCGGAAACCACTCGGAACCCGCTCAAAACCACTCGGAAACCACTCGGGAATCACTTGGAGGGAAGCATTCTCGCGAGATGGGGGGGTTTGCAGCATAAATCTCGGCAAAGTGCGCGGACAACCCTCCGGACAACCCCCGGACAACTTGCCGGACGGTTGTTTGTCCAGCAGTTTGATTCTTCAATGTCTCATGTGAATTGCATTATCATTTGGTCGCAACAACTTGTGGTCGCTCAAGACCAGTGAGCCACTTAGCCCACGACGCGCTCAGCGTGCCAGGATCAGATTTGGTGACTTCATCGCATTTCTCTCGGAATCTTCTTGCAGACTTTGATGCCGTGGCAGGGGGCAATGAAGTTCAGCACGCTGCACTGACGTTAGAGCAGCCACAGCCTTCGTCTCCTTTGCACGTTCAGATTTGCGATGCCCGCGAGCTTGAGGAGATGGATCTGTCCCTAGAGGACCCTGGAGCAGCCACTGGAGCAGCGAGTGTGTTTGCAAGCGGGGAGACTGATTCCTGGACGCCTGGTAAGGATACGCGCGGTTATTGCTCACGTGGTCACAGCATTCACGCTCAAGCTCA